TCACGTGGCACGTGTGGTAAACCACTTTATTTCCTCTTTCTTTTCACCATTCACTAAGTTATTGTACACCCGCCTTAATTAAATATTTGTCTACTGTATATACTTCTGGATGGTACTCCATACTAAATATGTTTGAGTTATTTTGCCTAAATCTTACGTTATTTTACTTAAATCTTGTGCTATTTTGCTAAAATAATACTCCCTCAATCACTTATCTACATGCCTACTTTCCTTTCTTGGAGTTTCAAAACTACATGCATAATTCTATTTAAATAATTTACTTTTCGACAATATTCTTCTTTTTGATGAGTTGTCATCAATTTTATTTATTTTTTACGTACTTTTGACATCATTTTCCAACACTTTCTATCTCTATCTCTTTAATAATTACCAACTACCTTTTTTTCTCTCAATCTTTCTCTGACCCCACATGCACATTTGTACTCCACAATCATGGATTTAAAAGAACCACTAAGTTCCATTATTTCCGTGTAAAATGGGAAATAGGCATGTAGATAAGGGGCGGAGGGAGTATGTTATTTACTTATTTACTTCAACAACATGTATAAAAAAAACATGCATGTATAAAATAACATGTATTTATTTAAAAATAACATATATATAAATTGAAATAATAAGAAGTTCATATCAAAATAACATGAATTTTATAAACCTGGAGTATAGTGAAATGATCGACGTTGAATACAATATATATATATAGGGTCAAATGAGAAGTTCCTTTAAATGAGAAGGATTTATTGTGCAAAATTTTTGTACTAAATGCGCATATTTTTCAAACTGAATGTGCAAATATTATTTGGCTTAAATTCGATGTGCATAAATTTTGAACAAAATGTGCATAATTTTACTTCTAAATGTGCATATTGTTTACTCCTCTTATTCATTCACCACCTGAAAACAGGGATTTGGGCAGAGAGGGCACGACATTGTCAATTCAAGTAGACACTCTAGGTTATTCTTTGGACAGATTTAATTTAATTGCTTAGTTTTCCTGCGGTTAAGTAGTTGTAAAAATAAAAAAAAAAAAGAGCCTGCTTCTCTTTTTCCCTCGCTCATCCTTTGTTTCCATTAATGAGTTGTGGAGCAACTTTCATTGGCGTTGCTGAGAGCTTCAAAATGAAAATCGATGATCTAAAATGGCGAAGATGACCAAAGTGCTTCTACTGGAGGGAAGGATTAAAGGCAAGGAGATAAATAATCAAGATTAATGCCGCGGAGAAGAAGACGACAAATAGAAGAAGCCACTGCATTGTAACGATCTGATTTGGGGGTAAAATTGAAAAAACTAGGGTCTTGTTTTTTCTTCCCAAAATTTGCAAAAACAGAAAATTTCCAATATATAATACGGAGTTTGTATCAGACATAGGGTTCAATATCTTTTTATCTAGTTTTTTAATTTTTTTTTTCTGGGGTTTATTATAACTTTTGTATGATACATTGGATGAAATACTTTGCACGGTTAGGATTCCTTCTCATACTTCTTATTTAAAATCCTTCTCATTGGATCACAACCCGACAGACTAAAATCGTATCACCTAATCAAAAGTAATTCCTAAGACCACTAACTAAAATAGATAGGGAAGTAAAGTCGAATCCATAGGAAAACAATGTTCTTTTATTCCTAATAAATTATTATAATCTAAATTATCAAGTAACAAGTATGAATTTATGTGACTTAAACTAAGGGGAATAATTAAACTAAGCAAATAAGACTAAAAGAATATCAATAAAATAAAGGCTTAGGGCATAGGTTCACCAATAAATAAAATTCCGGGATGATAGACAACAAGACTATAAAGGGCTTTCGCTACGTATTACAATCACAGAATTAAATTAGCAGTGTTAAATCGCATCTCTCGAATCTTAACTTAACCATTTATAAATTAACCTACCAGTTGAAACTAAGCCTAAACATCAATTCTCTTCTACCGAATCTCGAATCAATATTGCATAAATCATACAATTAAACCAGACCTAATTTAATTGCATAGCATTAAATCAATCAATAGAAAATTAATCAAGCATTGACTATCAACAATAATAAACCATCCATTCATATTATTTATGGATCCCCAAGAACCCTAGAAATAAACTACTCGTACATAATTAAAACTAAACTAATCAAAGCAATTAAATTAAACATAATAAAAACAATAATTATAAAAACCAATAGTAAAGCAAATAACCAAAGTAAAATCAACAATAATAATAAAAAAAAAGTAAAACAATAATAATCATTAAACAAACAAAAAGCAATAGTAATTAGTGCAAAGACGAAATAGACGAAACGTGATGAAAACAAAAACCTACAAATTCCTAATTAGCGTGTAAAACTAAGAACTACAGTACCCTAATAACTTATAAATAATAATCAAGGAAGTAAAACTAAAACTAACGAAAAGTTCAGCAAAAAGTAATATTAAAGTCAACTAAAACTGATAAATCATGAAATCCCTCTTAAACTAAAACTAATGAAAAACTTACATAACCCCTGTCACAACCCACTAATTGGGTATTTATAATTCCCCGTCAACCGACATCAAATTAGCGAAATCAAGGGTAGTCATTGGGCCGCCCATTGTTTCACGTCCAGCAGATCCGATTGTGGGCCTTGTTTTTCACTTGGGCCTCTAACTTAATCTTTGTTGTTTTATGATTTGTGGCCTCATTACTTGGTCCGTAATACTAGCTTGTAAAGCCCTTATTCACCGAACTAAATTTATTTAGTACGCCCTTCAGATTTAAATATTCGGTCATAAAATACGATCCGACTCTAATATTTTGTAGTGGCTCAATAAGCTCGAGAATCATCATAAATCAGCAATTTCCTGCAAAATAATAGCAACTCTACAAAAACACTAGGAAACGTATATTAGTAATAAAAATGGCTCCGTAGAGCTCAAATAAGCACAAATATGATCGTGGGTTGGGGAATAACAATATATATAAATTAGACTTATCACAACCCTATTATAACAATATATATAAAAGGGAATTAGGGTTGGGATGTAGAATAAGTTTGCAGCAAGATTAACGAGAGTGTAAAGTGTTGTGTTTGATGAATTTTTATTCTAGAATCTTTATAATTTTTAAGTGGCTTGAACATAATTCCAGTTAAAGTAAACTAGAGATCAATAAAAGTAGACTAAACTGCTCCCAAAATAGATAATCAAATAGTTTATGGTAGATAGAAATATGATAAAAGTAAATCAATTATAATCATTTGTTAGCGTTATGTCTATTGTTATGGGTATGGTTCAGTGAAGAAGGCAGAGTCGGTTCATATCTACGAATCTGGTATGTAATTTTTTACAGTTAAACTTATATTTTGTTATCAAGTGTGCTGCTAATTTAAACCTGTTAGCTCAAATGGTAGAGCACTAAGCGGATGCATAGAGGTGTAGGTTCGATTCCTACATAGGTTCACTGAAAGTAAATATACAATCACTATAAATTTATTCAAAATGAATTATAGTAAATCAAAATTACTAAAACGTAAATCAAATTAGCTCTAAAGTATACTAACAATACATTAGCTTGAAATGATAAATGACTAAGGAAGCTTTGCTTTGCTATAACACAAAGGTCGAGTCATTGTCTTTCACATCTCTGGAAAATATAAAACAACACTCTGAAGCTATTCAAATTACATATTTCAAAAGTAAATAAAAATGATTAAAAGTAAATCAAATTAGCTCTAAGGTATAAAAACAATTAATTGGCTATTAGTGACTATGTAAATTGCAATTACGAGTTATTGGCTTTCGTATCCTTACAAGATGAGTCAAGTTATAAGAAAAAATATGTTGAACTCAAAGTAAAAGTTTTGAAATTAAAAGTAAATAAAACAATATCAAAAATAGGAGGAACTTAAATTATGTTGTAGTTTGGAAGAGGGGAAAGTAGGAGGTGCTGCTAGCAGTAATGTTCTGTTGTGGTGGTTTTTGCGATGCTATTAATCGTTGGGGGTTATGAGGTTTATAGGAGGGAGGAAAATAGATGCTTGTGGACTGCTGTGTGTTGGTGTCGTCGTGTGGTGTAGGTTAGTGTTGGGGTTAAGATGTAGGAAAAGATGGCAACAAGATTGAGGAGAGGATAGTGTGAAGTGTTGTGTGGGATGAATTTTTATTTTTGAATCTTATAAAATTTCGAGTGGCATGGTTTGTTTAGAGAAATTGATATTTTACTTTATTTTTTTTGAATTTTGTGCTTAATTCTGTTTGAATTCTATGTAGTAGTAGCAAATTTAAAATGGCCTTGAATAGGTAAACTAAATTCCTCTTAAAGTAAATTAGATATGCTTTAAAGTAGACTAAACTGCTCCCTAAGCAGATAAACAAAGAGGTTATGGTTGAGGATTGTTTTATTGGGTGTTTCAATGTCTACTTCCATTGTTCGTTTGTAGCTTTATCAATTGTCAGTTCTCATTTATTGTTTGATGATTTAAAGATAATCTTTAATCGGTAAACTAAATATGTGTTAAAGTAAATTAAATCTCCATAATAGTAAACTTATTAGCTCAAGCACTATGCGAATACATAGAGATGTAGGTTTGAATATTCCTACGTATGTTATCTCTAAAAGAACTTATAAAACACTCTAAGTTATTCAAAATTCCTCAAAAGTAAACCAAATAGCTAAAAAGTAAATATCAAATTATTTCATGTATCAATTAACAAGTATATAAGTTAAAGTAAAGGCTTTCAAATGAAACGTATATAGATGCAAAAGGTAAATCATATCATAATAAGTCTACAAAAAAAAAACTACAAAGGGGGTCTGATTTTAAAATAAATAAAAAGATATATAGTTTCAGCTTACAATTAAACCTAGGTGGGATTCGAACCCACATCCTTTGTGTATTTGCACAATGCTCTACCAATTGAGCTAGTAAATTAGTGTTATCAAAGTGTATAAGTAGTACCAATTCTAACAAAGAAAATGACTCATGCAAAGTAAGGCAGCATAATGATTTGAGCTAGTATATTAAACATTAGTAGTAAAGAATAATTACTTACAAGTAAATCAAAAGATCTTAAGAGTAAATAAACTACATGTACAATCAGGGTTCTGGGAGAGTACTAGTGAGCTACCCCAGACTTGGAGGATGAATAAGGTACACAAAAACGATTAAAATGATCTTCCTCTATCCAATATTAAGTCAGGCAAAGGAAAACCATTAACAAAGAAAGCCGGAGTACAATTTCAAAGATGCCTCGTGAACAACCATACTGCATGTACAGTTTAAGACTAAAAAAGGATGCAATAAGTATAACATCTTAAAAGTGTAAAATATTTGTACCAACGATGCCATTGACATGAGCCTGAGTCATATTCCAAATCAATGTCTTGAGGCTCCACCTTTTTCATCAATATCTTCATTTGCCTCTTGAGCTGCAGTACAAAAAGTAGTAGCTGAGGAATATGAATTGACTATCATTAGTGACATATCAAGAAACTGAACTGCTGGAAGCTTGAGTTAGCAGCTAAGAGCCAAGCCTTCGATCTTAAATATACATAGGTCTCAAAGTTTGGGCTCTTAAAATGAAAATCAATAACTAAAATTCCAAAATAGACCTTTATAGTATGTTCATAAACAATACATTAACAAAATGTGAGCATGCAGTTTCAAATTTGGTTTAATATCATCTGACTAAAATTTCAGAAAACTTACCACAATGCAGTGCAAATATTTATTGGACTCGGTCTCTTGTTTGAAGGCCACAAAAGTTAAAACCCAAGCAGTGAAAAATCCATATCCCACTCCAACAATTACACTTCCTGCTATGCTCAATCCTAACCAAACAGCAACTAGAGCCAGCAAACCCAATAAATTGTCATCTTAAGAGGTATATCAAACATGTTTGTATTTATGCAAATTATGCGAAACACAAGAATCACTAATCAAATTATGCCTAATCTACAAAGTTATCACAAAGCTATGCAGGACAGGAAACATGTTTGTAACAAAGAAAATATGCAGCAATGGAAACTTAATAATCACCTCACTGATCTTCATAATTCACTAACCAACTTTAATTGACTACCTTGTTTTGTACAACTTTGAGCTAGATAACCAACGTTTGTCAGCAAGAAAATGGTAATCTTGTGGGTTGTAAATTACTAAATCCCACACCCCACAAAGCAACTCTAAGCTCCATTCTCAAATTTAGACCAACTATAATCGAATTAGTATCTAGATACATACATACCCAAAATTAAACGCTAAGTATGTTCACCAACTTCTAGTAATTCACCTATCACAAAACCCAAAATTAAACACCCAAATCTAGACTCTAATCATCATATTCACCATTAAACTATTTCCAAAAAAACCAATACATCTCGATAAACATCAAAAACAAGTACAAATTATTCAACAATCACATTAAATCCATAAAACAACCACATATTTGAATAAAAAAAAATGAAACAAAATATGAACAAGACAAAAAAAATGCGTAATCACTATCTAATTAATAAAACGCAAAAGCACAATTAATCAAACTGAAACGCAAAAACCCTAATTTCAAACTTGAAATAAACGAAATTAAAAAGAAAAACCTAATTGAATAAAAAGAACAAGAAAAAAAAAATCAGATAAATAACTTGATAAAAAATAACAAGCAACAAAGATCCAAGAATAAACTGAAGGACTTTGGCGAAAAACAGGAGAAAAAAAAATTGCAGATGGAGAGTTGGCAAGAAGAGAGAGAAAGTGAAAAAAAGAAGTAGCGGAAATTCTGGGTAGTCATTCAATTTGCAGAAATTACATTTCTACCCTTAATGAAGCGGGAGAAGTGTAGACCGTTAGGTGAAATGCGATGGACGGCTCATATCAGTTTCTAGTTCCTATTATTCACCTTGGTTCTCAAATGATCTTATTTCTATATCAATTAACTATTACTAAAGACAAAACTGACATCATCAATCCTTAAGCTATCCTACGTGTTATTCTCACATTAAAAATTTTCCCTCCATTTCTATGTGATGTCATCAATTATTAATTTTTTTAATCTACACTATATATTTTTCAAACAAAAATAAATAAAACTCTATACTATTTTTTCAAACAAAAAATAATTGTCACTCTATTTATATACAAATGGAAAAAAAAACTATTTTTTATGCAAAAGAATAAAATTATTCAAATCGCATAACGCACGAGTTTAATCTATACTACCTCTGTTAATTATTACGAAAACAAAGGAATATTTTATGTTTCACAAATAATACTCCTTTGTTGCACATAATAATTAACGGAGGTAGTATATATATACCTTGTGCATGGTACTCCAGGATTAAAATAGAAATTGCGGAATTTTTTACTATTTTTTTTATTTTTTGTGTGGGGGAAGTCCACCTAAATAAAGAGTACGGAGTAAATCCGTTTTATAATAATCGCAACAATTTGACTTTTGCACTATTCATAAACTTACTGTAAGAAATATGTCTTGAATCGGTGACCGAGTACATGCACGGTTGTGTAGTCCATAGTACACGATCGTGTAGTCCATATCACCAATTACACTTCAATATACATGGCCAATATTAGAGGTGATCATTGGGCGGGCCGGGCCGGTCCAAGCTTCGGGGTGGAATTTTTGTGCCCAAACCCGCCCAAAATGGTTGGGCCGTGCGGGCTTTTCGATTCGGGCTTAAAAAATTAACTAAATATGCATAAAAACGCATTCCCAAACCCGCCCAAAAAAAAAGTGGATTGCTAAACATCGCCCGCAAATCTCCACATAAAGCCCACAAATCTATATTGAATTTACCTTATTGCCCTAAACCTAAAATAAAAAAATCTAACCCATACCCACACTCTAATCACCCGAAAATACGGCAATGTCGAGGCGGCAAGGTAAGGACTTGGCAGCCACAGTGGCGGAGGGAAGGACGGCTCACGGTGGCAGGGTTTTTTTTTTTTTTAAAAAAAAAAAAAAAAATAAAACAAAAAACAAAAGTGGTGGGGCGCCTGGCCAGGACGCCCAGCCCCTGGTGGTGACGTCTGCTCCGCCCGCCGGGACCAGGGGGCTGGCGTCTGACCTGGACGCCTAGCCACGGTTGTGGCGTTTTCCAGAGGCGCCACCGCCGTGGCTGGGCGTCCAGGTCAGACGCCAGCCCCCTGGTTCCGGCGGCCGGAGCAGACGCCACCACCAGGGGCTGGGCGTCCTGGCCAGGCGCCCCACCACTTCTGTTTTTTTTTGTCTAATATTTTTTTTTTTTGGAAAATCAGAATTCTTTTGTTAATGTTTAATATTTTTGTTTTATGTGTTAATGTTTTTATTTCTAATATATATATTTATTTTTTTTGAAAATCAGAATTTTTTGTGTTAATGTTTAATTTTTTTTGTTTTATGTGTTAATTTTTCATATGTGTTAAATTTTTTGTATGTGGTAATTTTTTGTGTTAATAAATAGTGTTTAAATTTTATACATTATGTAAAAAATTTATTTGTAAATTTCATTTCTATATATAATTTACACATACAAAATTAAACATAATTTTATTAACACATATTTAGAACATAATTTCAAATTAAAACAAATTTTTTTTTGAACTTATTAACACATATTTAATTTCAAATTTATCAAAGTTTAAAAACCACAAAAAAAAATCAAAAAAACAAAAACTTTAAATAAAATTAAAAAAAATTACAAAAAGTTTAAATAAAATTACAAAAAAAAAGGAAAAAAAAAATAAGAAATTACAAAAAAAAAAAAAAAAAAAATTCAAAAAGTAGGGGTGGCGTCTGGCCAGGACGCCACAGCCATGGTGGCGGCGTCTGGCTAGGAAGCCACAACCATGGTGGCAGTGTCTAGCCAGGACGCAACAACCGTGGTGGCGGTGTCCTTGCCAGGCGCCACTGCCACGGTTGCGGCGTCCCGACCAGACGCCACCCCTACTTTTCGTAATTTTTTCCCCGGATTATCTCGCTTTCCGGCGACGATGACGGCTTTCCGGTGTCCCTCGGCAATCCACTCTAGCTCCAAATTCTTCGTGAGAGAGAATTACGGTTTCGGTAAAAATTAGAAAAAGGGCAAAAGAGTCAAAGGAAAGATAATTGTGGGCTTTATGTAGAGATTTGTGGGCGATGTTTAACAAATCCCAAAAAAAAATCAGGCCGGGCCATACTTGATCAGGTCTAACGGCCATGTGGTTCATGGTACAAGGACGTGTAGTTGTGCTACTACAAGATATGTCACACAACCATATGGTTCAAGGTACATAGCCGCGTAGCTGTGGGCGCTGATTTGGTATGTGGTTATCTTTTGGGCTTTAGCCCAATTTAGTTTTTGTTTCGGAGAGTTTTATATATACCCTTTAGGGTTACTCCTTGTCGACTTATTGAGTGACAATTAAAAATTAGAGAGTTGTTTTTTTTTTTTTTTTTTTTGTTTATGTTTATGTTTATTTTGTATTTCTCGTCTGTAAGTTGTGAGAGAGATAACATTAAAATATTGAAAGACAATCAATTCATTTTTTGTGATCAATAAAACTATTACTCTCGCCTGCTTGTGGACGTAGCAACACATTTTTATTTATGCAAACGTAGCAACACATTTGTTGGTGAACCACAAAATTCTATATGTGTTTTTCTTGTTAATTTTACATTTAATATTTGTTTTTTCTTGCATCCGTTATAAATCTTACTTTGACTATATTTTCTATTTATATATAAAAACATATGTTATCATGTAATATATATTTTTTGATTAGTCTTTACTAGTAAATACATTTTCACTATATCAACCTTTTATATTTGTTAATAATATATAATTATAAATATTAAAGGTTAAAGTTGTGCATTGACACATGTGTTGGTCAAACTGTTGAGATTATTACAGAACGGAGGAAATATAATGTAAAGCTCTAAAATGTTTTGACTTTGTTTTGTAGTATTCATCCAATCCACTTTGATAGTGTTAGTTATTTATACAATTATACATATCAAAACTATAGTCTTGTTTTTACTTGTTAAAGTCGTCTTAATGAGTAGATTAGTAGTATTCAATTGCTATAGTTTTTACTTATTGATAATTAAAGATATTATTGGTCAAAATTTTGCACTGGTATACGTATCTATGAAAAACATTTCATTTACTTAAAAAAATACGGAGGGTAGTAGTTGTCAATTGTTTCGAGTTACGGATCGCATCAGCTAGGTTTTTTTTTCACAAAAGTAACTTTATCAATAAAGCATAGAAACCTTTTAGGTGGAGTTTGGTTCGCGGAATATAAGTGAGGTATGAGTTTAGAATGACTAAAACCTATACCATATGTTTGGTTGTCAAAAGTATGAATTTTAAACCCATACCTTAAACTCATGAGGTATGAGGTTTAGAAACCTTGGGAGAGGTGGGTTTGGCTCATTCCGTTCTCTTAGGTATCAAATAAAAGGAATGAATAGTGAGAGATTCTATTCCAACCCGATACCACCTTAACCCCATTCCTGATTTCAAACTAATACCGCTATGCGAACCAAGCGCCCCCGACATATAACTAGGTTAGTTCCCGTGCCATGCACGGTAATTTTCAATAACCATTATTAAACTATCATTATAATTAATTTTTTTATAAACAAAATGAAATCTAAAAATATAGTTGACAAATTTTGATAAAAAAAAAAGATTAAGAAAGATATGTTAGATATAAAATGATGTAAAAAATAATCAAATTTATGTGAAGAATTTTTTTTATGGCTATATATATTTGCGTTAAAGATATATCAATTCTTTTTTTTATTTTAAGTAATTATATTATTGTATAAGATTAAGGAATTGTTTTTGTACAAGATCTGTTTCTATAATAGACTTTTATTCAGCAATAAAAAAATAAATAATAATAATAATAAAAAAAACTAAGGACATACAAGGAGATGACAAGTGTCATTGTTGGTGTGTTTTTTTAGTATATTGTTATATTATTGATTGATTGATTATTGATAGCAACAACATTATACTCCATATCAGGGTAACATTTAATTATATAAGGGTAATATTAATACACGATGTATATTTATGTACAACTTTTGATAATTTTAGGGCAACTTTACAACAAATGTACAATATTTATTATGCACCCTTTTTTTTTTTTTTTTTTTTTGTAAAAGTTTGTGTTATACTTGTTTTTAAAATATATGTTTTGACAAATCTTCCTCATTAAAATATAGGAAAATGATAAATATAGCCCTAAGGGTTATGTATAAGAAGCTAAAAAAGGAAATAGTGAGAATAGATTAACATTAATTACACCGATCTGCGCGTGATTTTGTTATAGATTCCCAACTTAATTCCATTTTTAGGAAGTATATTTAATGCTTATACATAACCCTAAGGGCTACATATATCATTACCCTAAAATATATATTCCATTTCATAATAATCGCAATATTTTCCTTTAATTCCGTCTTATAAAAAGGTTTTGTTGGACGAATTGAGCAAGAAGAAGTGAGCTTCCTTTTACGGTCAATCATTCAATTTGAAATAAAAGTAAGCGTGATAACTATGTGAGCTGAGTGATATAATAAAATAGTGTGATGTATTTCCATTTAAGAAAGTGTTGCCAAAACCCCCCTCCCCCGATTATATGAAGTAATGCAATTAAAAAAATGATCTTGCTAATAAGCACCCTAGAGAGTTAGATAATTAATTAATTAATACACAACCTCCGTTAATTGTTATCTACACTTTGGGTATTATCGGTAAGATATAAAAAAAATCTAAAATTATGAATAACAAGATGTAGTATTACTTAAATTAGAAATGTATGACAAAATCACTAGTCGATTGGTGTAACTTTACAATTTGCATAGCGTCACGGGAAAATCTACCCCTTCCTCATCCAGGCAGTCCCCCATAACACTCATGCTATTCAGATCGAGTGATCGACCCATAAAAGGAAGCTCACTTCTTCTTGCTCAATTCGTCCAACAAAACCTTTTTTTTACGAGTATATTCCT